TTTAAAACAATATGTAATATTATCATTTAATTTTTTAGAGTATCTTTCAAATATGAAGATATGTGCCATTGCACATTTTAATTGTTTTTGAGACAGGGTCTCATTATGTGGTTCAGGCTGGCCTTGAACTCACTATGTAGCCCAGGCTGGCCTCAAACTCATGTCAATCCTCCTGCCTCAGCCTCTCAAGTGCTGGGATTACAGCCATGTGCCACCATGCCTGGCCCATTGCACATTTTGAGTACTATTCATCTAAATCTTTTCTCCTTTCTCTTTCTTTGGTTGTTTAAAGAAAAAAAAAAGCACCTTTTATTCCAGAAGTTCGAAAAGTTTGAAAATATAGGAGAAAATATTTTTTTTCTTTCAGATTAAAATGCTAATACATTGCTTTAAATGTAGAGTTGCTACACCCGAAAAGATATCTGGAGATTAAAGAAAACCATTGGCTATCTTAGTTGGTGTTTATCTTATCTGTATAAATTCATCCTGTGTTCCCCATTGGGCATTCTCTATGTGCAAGTTTGTGGATTGTTCTAGTCTAATCTAACAAATACTTACTTAGTTTTGGCCTGGTTTACCTGTCAGTTTCTGTGACAGATTTTTAAAAAGTTTAAAATTTTTCCACCATAATTATAGTTTCTTAAAATTGTCTAAGGACTCTTATTACATAGATTTCAATACTATATTGTTGTGATGATATTGCTTCTTGTTCTTTCTGTCTTGTGCAAACGTTTTGCATTGGGAGCAGCATGTTAAAATGTAATCCTAACACTTGCCAATGGATTAGTCCAGGGTGGCTATGAGAAACCCACCATATGAATGCCAGGTTTCCCCAAACCTCATATAAGACGCAATTTGACAGAACTTATCTTGTGGTGCTGAGGATTGAATCCAGGCCTCTATGCATGATAAGCCAGTGTTCTACCACTGAGCTACACTCCCAGTGTAGCTTACTGAGCCCCTGTCTCAAACATAAAAAATAAAGAAGGGCTAGGGATGTAACTCGGTGCAAAGTGGGAGTGGTCAGAGCTGTTGGGGGAGGTTGTGCTTTACAAGTTATCCCTTGAAGCCAACTAGAGCTATAGTTTTTTGCATTTGCTATCTAGTTGAGTTTATCACTAGCTCATAAATTCCCCACCATTCAATAGGTCCCCTCCTATTATGGGATTGTGCTTGAAATGACAGAAATACTGACACCATGTGAGATTATCAAAGTCAAATCTTTGTCATATTTGAGTCATGGCTATTATTTTTATTTGTATACGTTTGAGCCTAAAATGTCAAACCCAAATGTAAGTTTTGTGATGAATTTTATAAATAGTGGGCTTTTATTAAACAAGGAAAAGCTCATTTTGAAGTTCTCTGTGTGCAATTTTTCCCTCAATAGCAAAAATGGTGGAAATAAAGATATAAATCTGTATCTACAAAGAGCTAAACATAAGAGATATATCATTTCCTCAGCCAGTAACAAATAACTTTCACTAAGAGATTCAGATGAATAAAATAAATAATTGAGGCAGAAGTTATAATGACATCCTATGCCATATATTAGCATGTCTTTCAGGTTCATATGTTCTAGCTGAAATAACCTATTACATAAAAGAACTTGTTGAGCATGTTATAAAAAAATAAAGAATCAATGAAATATTCATCTCTTTAAGTGTCAAGGCTGTTCATAAAAGGAAAAACATTGCTTAAGAGACAGGGAAAGAAATTCCAATTTAAAATGGATAATTACCGTGGTCTTTGCCATAAGTATCTCTTGGAATGGATTTCATCTTGTGAAGAATTCTATTCTTTTACATGAATGTGCCCACTCTTCCAGCATGGCAGTAAGTGAAATCATCATTCCTACTGAAAAAGAAAATAAAAATGGGTGACAACACTTTTTATTGTCAGTGAACATTTAAAAGATTATTGATCACAACAATCTCAAAGACTAGAAGGGCAAGCTGTGTCATGAAATAATTGCTACACTGTGTTTTAACATAACAAATCTGAAGAGTGACACTCAAAGTTGTCCACTGAAGATGAGAACTTGTTCAATATACTGGCTTGTAATATTATGTTGTTTGTTTTCCCAAAAATGAATGGACAATGGACAAAACCATAAGGTGAGTTGGATCTGACTCTCAGAGAACCTGTTGTACAAATAGAGTGTAGACTACTACTGCAAAAACTTTTAAAATTTTTATTGTTAGTAGTACATGTTTGTCATACATAGGGATTACACCCATCATGGGAAGGTGGTACAAGTACATAACACATCATAATTCTTTTTATATTCCCTTTGTGTCCCCTCCCTCCCTCCTTCAATCTCTTTGTGTTCTTTCCATTTTCAGCAGATTTATTTCCCTTATTCCTATGCAAATTCTAACAAAGAATTATTAAGGAGAGCCAAAGGAAATATAATTAAAAGAAGAGGTGTATAGTTTAGATATTTATAATTTATCTCAGATAAACAAGAAGTTATTTTAGCATAAATGTGTTCCATTCAATATTTTTCTTTTAGTCAGTGTACATATGCATAGGCATTAGGAATAATTACAATTTAACAGGATGTCCTTTATTTTGATTTGCTCCATTGTGTAACCTTGAGACAATTTTTTTTAATTTCCCAGAACTTAGATTGCATCTTTTAAAAATAGCAACCTCTTCTTGTTTTATGGATATAATAAATCCATATGGATCTGTTTCCTGCATTGATTTTTGTTTCCTCACAGGAAATTTCTTTTGTTTCCACAGCGTAATGTCATGTTTTCATGCTGTTGGTTTCCCGCCAATGTTTGGGACTTCCTGTTACCTATTCACAGTCGTAATTTCATACTTTGATTGACCTAGTTGGTACCTGAAGGGTTTCAGCTCATTTCTTGGCAGCTGCTGTAGTTTCCAGGTAGGGCAGGAGACTATGGCCAAGCAGCTTCTGTAGGGTGCTCTCTGTTGTATGACCAGGGGAACTCATGTACTGATTTGCCTGCGATGGTCAGAGGTTACCTCCTGTGTCCGGGCACAATTATTAGTATGCTTTCTTTCACTTGAAAGTGTCCCGTTTTAGACAACAAATTACATTTTCATTTTTCCTGCAACAGATGGAAGCTAGCAGGCACACTGTCTCAGTTTCTTCTCTGGTTCCAGCGATCACCCTGGCAGGATCTTGCAGCAGATATCACAGTTAATTTAGAAAGCAGAATTCATAGTTTTAGCCTGGGGGCAAACGCTATACCAGGCACCTGGAGAATAAATGGCTGATTTAGTTACTCCATGGTGCTGTAATTAATTATCCTATTGGCTGTCTGCCTTTTCCTCTATTGCCCAAGAGCTTAGGTTTCTTTATCAGGGGGTCATCAGAGCTATTATCTTTCACCTAAATAGAATTCTACATTTTTAAAATCCCTGCTATGTGTTATCATCCATGCCTGACCCTATCTGCTGTAATATTCAATATTAATTCTATAATTGCACCTGTAATATCACCTATAATAATAATTACTGATGAGAGATGAAAACTTGTGTCAGGCACCATTCAAAGCTCTGGTATTAATCCTCACAGCAATGCTTTGAGGTGGTTTCTGTTATCTCCATTTTCCAGGCATGGAAACTAAGGCATAGAGAGGTTAAGTAACGTACCCCAAAGCTGGAAGATTCAAAGAGCACAGGCAGCTTAGCAATAATGCAGCAGTTGTGTCCAGAGCTCATATTCTCAACACCCTCTGAAGCCCTCATGTCAAACAATAGCTCTTTTCCAGGCTTACCAGAGCTGTTTGGGGCTGAATCCTTCTTTATTACTTCTGTCCTTTCTCTGGGATTTTGGAGAGGAACGAGAGGTTAGCTCAGGAGCTCAGTTAATTGTCATGAACCTGAAGTTTATTAAACTTTTTTCCCTCCAAACGCGGGTATTCTGTATCGAAGAAGGTTCCGGTCTAAGTGATTGTTATACAGGCCGTTACAACCTATTAGCCAGCCATATGTACAAACATTCACATACTATTTCTCACTGCTTTATCAGTCTAGAATTGTGGATGGAGACCTAGCATAAATACACAAAAGGTGCCCTGGAGGTTTCTACATGGTCCCTAGACACTCACTGTAATACTGTAACACTCCAGTTGCATGACAGATCATCCCTTTACATACATAGCCCCCAAATTATTATATTATTTTAAATCAGAAAGAGGCAGTAACAACTAGGCCAACCCCACCACTTTGCAAATAAGAAAAGGAATTCCAGTGAGATGCTTACCCACTCTCACTGCTATTAGGGTGATTAGTGATAAGGCCAGAATGACCACCCAGTGCTCTATCCGAGTGTTCTATTCATCATCTCTCATTGCCTCAGGGGCTTTAGGAACAGAAAAGGGAAATCATCAAAATCATGTTATTGTATGGCTATAAATGATTGTTTTATGTAGATTGTACCTAAATGCTCTGCACCCATAGTTCTGAAAACTTACTATTTCAATTTTAAAGGAAGTCTTCAAAAGTTAATTGTTACAATCTACTATGAACTCTGACCTGTCATGGTTTTCTACATTATTTTTCAAGTTTCTTTTTCTGGACTATACATGCTCATTCAATAATTTGTGCTTCTCACCCCCAGCATAGCATTGACTCTTACCTGTTCAAATAAATTGACATTTTCATCTCAACTAACCTACCTGCCAAGAGCAACAGACCCTGAATAAAGCCAGTGGTGAGGATTATTCATATCACCCCTCTGTTCAATAAAGTAAATTATTTTACATTAAAGCTAATGCATTTTGAAAAGTGAAAACTTTTTTTTGCCTGATAACAGTCAGCATTCTAGGGGTACAGACACATGCTAAGAATTACAACATTGAAGAGATTTCTTTTTTTAAATGTAGTGTTAAGTACTAAAAAAAAAGGGAGAAACAGGAGACATTTTCTAACTTGTCAAGAGGTAACTATTTCATATTCTAAAGAAATAGAGGGCCAGGGATTTAGCTCAGCGGTTCTGCCATTTGTCTCGCAAGTGCAAGGATCTGAGTTCAGTCCCTGGTACCAAAGGGAAAAAAAGAGAAATAGAAATAACCTGCTGGTCCAGGAACAAAAAGAAATGTAAAACAAAGAAAATGGGAAAAAAAGCAGGGGGGGGGAGTGGATACATTTTTATCATTTGTTATGAGGAAAATATAGCTGTCAATAATAATCTCTATTTAGAAGGAAAAGCAATAGTTCTGAATTACTAGCTCTATTTTCTTTCATTGATTGTTTCCAATTTAGTAACAGAGCCAGGAGATCCACTACTTCTTCTCCAGGTCTATCAGGTGTGCAGGACCCCCGGGATGTCCCACAACCAGCGGACTTCCTTGGATCAGCTCCCCTCTCCGTTCCACCCCACTCCCCTTTCTTGCTGGGCTGCTTGTCTCTTGCTACTGAAGTCTCCTCTTACAAGGGTACCAGAGTAACATTCTATTTACTCTTACTAATCTTAGCTAAAACACCTTTTCCTCTTTTATTTTCTTAGTAGGTATTTTTGCTATAAAAACATCACATCTGAGAACATACTTTGCTGTCTGTCAGCTCTCATTAGAAATGATGGTGTATAGCTTATCTGTTCTACTCAACTTGCGGCTCCAGTGTCTAGAACAGTGCCTGACACCCAGAAGGTATTTAAAACACTTATTACATGACTAATCCTACTTGGCTCCTTTGAAACTTCAAAGTGCCTTGGGTTCTTGAATATCAAAGAGCTTCCTACCCTTCAATACCAACTCCCATACCTGCCCTCTCAAAATCACCTGAAAATGTTTCACCTCCAGAAATTTGTCATACAATTTTCCCATTCTTTCTCTGACATAGTCTCTGCTGCCTTGTTTCCAACAACTTAGGACTTTCTGATTGTAACACAGATCCTCCACCAATTCTATCTAATGGTTTGCCCTTCACTTCCCTCTCTATGATTGAGATTAGTGAAAGAGTAATTTATATCCACTACATACTTTGATTCCATCATCTCTTTCTCTCTCAACCCAAGCATCCTGTCTTGTGCTCCTATTACTCTGCCAAAACTCTCCTCCCTTTGTTCAGGTCACCAATCCCATCAAATTATTATTTTTAAAAGATGAACTTTAATACCAAGTGTTAGGATGTAGGAAAACAATATATCTAGAGTTAAAATTGATGTGTCTGTTTAGGAGAGGAATGGGTGATAACTAGTAAAATTGAAAATAAGAATTATCAACAAACATGTTTCCCTAGAAAACTGTCCCACATGAGTACAAGAAGCTATATATGTGTGAATGTTTGTCACAACATTGTTTTAACAGCAGGAAGTTGGACCTGTATGTCCAATGTGGTAGACACTTGTTCTTGTCACTTAAAAATTCACCTTCCCCTTCTTTATCACTAATAGAACAATCAAAGTTTAGGCATGTGGTCACTTAGACTCTTCCCCCCCCCCTTCCTTATAGCTGGATCATATGATTAGATTTTAGCCAATGGATGTAAGCAAAATGGGAGAATGAAGCTTCTTCCTTTCTCCCTTGCATTGTAGTAGTAAAAATATGCTCACTAGAAGAGGGCAGCCATTCGCAACTTGGAGGTGACCTTGTGAGGAAAGGCTCGTGCACAGGAGAGCAACAAGATGGCGGAAGACTGGGCCCCTAAAACTGTGATGCACCTTATCATTTCCAGAAAGCCACCTTTGCGTTAACAAACGAGACACAGAGCTTTCTTGCTTTGTTTAAGATCCTGTTGTTTAGGTTTGTATTGGTTACCTTTAGACAAACATAATCTAAACAAGGTATAAAATGGACTGCAGACAGCCATAAATGAACAAATACACGAAAGAAGCCTATCAATGCAGATAAACCTCTAATTATAGTATTGCAAAATAGTATGTACAAACTTTTACCATTTAATTAAAATAAAAATGCAAAATATATGTTTATGGATTGTTACATATTTACATAAAACATAAAAATCTGTTTCTATGATTCATAACAACTTCAAGATGATGGTATCTTTAGAGGAAAGACTTTTCTGATTTTACATTGATTAACCAGGGACATTACTGACTATCTTATCAAGCAGTTAGGAGCCATTCAGTGTGTCTGTCAAGGTCTTTTAAGTTTGATCTGCCCATCCCTTGAGATCACCTTATAAGCCAGTGCCACTGCAATACAGCCCTGTTCTTGGGTATCTGAGTCACTCCTGAATGACAAGAGGTGAGACAAGCTCTTTCTGGAACATAACTTCTTAAAAACCAAGTTAAGGAGACTATTCTGTCAAATTTCTTCTTTATTTGTTTTGTTTTTTCTCAACTTTTAAAAGATTAGTATGTGTTTGTGATACATAGTAAATGCATTCATTGTAGGAGAATGGGTACATGTACATATCACATCTTTTTTGACTTTATTAGTACATGTTCGCAGTCCACAGTGATTATTACTCACTGCAGGGAACTGGTCCATGTACATAGCACATCTGAATTCTTTCTTTTCCCCTTCCCTCCACCCTTGTACATATCACATCTAAATCTTTTTTCCTTCCTCTTCCGCTCCCCTCCTTCTTCCCTCCCCCATCTTCAGAGCTCCTTCCCGTCCTTTCAAAGATCCAACTCTTTTATTCATCAAGCATCCTTTGTATTTTTTTAGTCTCAATTTCATTAACTTCTGCTCTGATATTTATAATTGTTTTCCTCTTATTAGTTTCAGATTTGGATTGTTCTTGCCTTTCTAGTACTTTGAGATGCATCGTTAGGTTCTTTATGTGTGATCACTCTATTTTTTTTTTTTTTTTGGTACTGGGGATCGAACTCGGGACCTTGCTCTTGCAAGGCAGGCAGTGGAACCACTTGAGCTAAATCCCCTGCCCTACTCTATTTTGTAAAATGTGCATTCACAGGTATAAATTTCCCTCTTAGAAATGCTTTCATGTGTCCTATAGGTTTTGATGTGTTGTGCTTCTATTGTCATTTGATTCTAGGAAATTTTTTATTTCTCCCAATTTCTTCTGTGATACTATGATTATTCAATAATGGATTATTTAACTTCCATATGCTTGCATAGTTTCTGTGGCTTCTTTTGCTGTTTATTTCTAACTTCATTCTCATATGATCTGATAGTATGCAGAGGATTATTTAAATTCTTTTGTACTTATTTAAGCATGCATTATGACCCAAGATATATTCTATTTTGAAAAATGTTTTGTGCGTTATGTATCTTGTTTTTGTGGGATGAAGCACTCTGGATATCTGCTAAGTTGATTTGTTTAATTGTGTGGTTTAGCTCAGATGTTTTTTGTTGATTTTTTTTGTCCAGTTGGCTGCCCTGTGAGAGCGGGGTACTATGATTGTATTGGTGTCTATCTGTTTTTTTAAGTACAGTAATTTTTGTTTTATGAAGTTGGGCATGCTAACATTCAGTACACAGATATTTACAATTGTTATCTCTATTTTTGAATTTTTATCTTTACCGATAAGTAATGGCTATCTTTGTCTCTCCTGATAATTTTTGGTTTGAAGCCTGCTGTGCCTGAAAATTAGGTAGCTACTCCTGCTTCTTTTTTGCGCTCCAGTTGAGTGGAGAATGGAGTATTGTTTTCCATTCTTTCACTTTTGGTCTGTCTACTTCCTTTTGGCTGAGGTGTCTCTTGTAGGCAATATATGGCTGCATTTTGTTTTTTAATCTGCTCTGCCAATCTGTGTCTTTTGATTGGGCAGTTGAGACCATTGACATTGAGAGCTCCTATTGTAAGGTGTTTATTGAATCTTGACATTGCATTATTTTTCCAGTACTAAATCCTTAATTTTTTCTTTTTGTTTAATTACTCTCCCAGTTAGGTGTATACTTTCCTTTGGGCTCTTTGCTGCTGCTGGCCTTTCTGTTTTGTCCAGGATTCCCTACAGTATTTCCTGCAATGCTTGTATAATGGTCATGTATGTCTTTAGAATTTCTTTGTCATGGAAAGTCTTTACTTCTTGGTCAATTTTGAAGGTTAATTTTGCAGGATATAAAAGTCTGGGTTGACAATTATTTTCTTTTAGGGCTTGAAAAACTTTGCTCCAAGCTCTTCTGGCCTTTAATATTTGTGCTGGAAAATCCAGTTGTACTGATGGGCTTGCCTTTATATGTTGCTTGCTGCTTTTCTCTAACAGCTTTTAGTAGTCTCTTCTTTTGTTGAATTTCTAAAATTTTTACTATGACGTCTTGTGGAGAGGTTCTTTTTTGGCTATGGCTATTTAGGATTCTATATGTCTCTTGTACTTGAATATTGAAGTCTTTGTAGATTTGGAAATTTTTCTGCTATAATTTTAATGTTTTTTATACCTTTTGAGTTGTCTTCTAATTTTTCTTTTATTATTATAATTCTAAGTTTTTTTGCTATTTAGCATTTCTTGGATCCAATTTGCATAGTGTCTTATTGTTTTTAGTTTGTCGCTGAGTTTATTACCTGCTACATCCACCTTGTCTCTATTTCTGACACTGTCTTCACATTGGTCAAGTCTGCTCTCCATGTTTTCCACTGAATTTTTCTCCTCACCTGTTTCTGCTTGCTTCTTTTTTATACTTTTTAATTCTTTTATATTTTTTAATTCTTTTGAATTCATGTC